CTACACTGCTCTGTGAAAGCTAAAAAAAAAACAAAAACAGGCCTTGATCAAACGAACTGCAAGGTGCTAAACAGATACACGGTATTTGTGTTAGAACATGTTTACTCAATTCTAAAGTGAGTATTATGGTTAGTTGTCTGAAGGGTAAGAAAGGAACCAGGGAAAAAAGCCAGATTTAAAGGAGTCAAGGGTCTGTTGGGAAGCGCAACAACTGAAAGTAAGGCTCAGTGTTCCTGTACATTTCAACCTCCATCCAGAACAACCTTCACCATCTTTGTCCACCTGGCAACTGCTTACTCCTCACGTATCTGCCGCAGCATCATTGTCGCTCTGATTTAACTGTTGCAGCCTCTAAGTTCCCAGAACGCATAGTTTTGTGAATTACAGATTATGTTCTACCTTTCTAGGCCGTGACTCCCAGCGGGCGGAGATCTAATTCCTACTACTTCCAAGGCCCGCCATATGACGCCTTCAAACAACGTTGGCATCAAGAATTTAAAAACCGTTAACACACTACACACACGCATTAACACACACGTCGATCTCCACGGCCCACAAGTAAATATCCTCACGGCAATCCCGGCAAGAATTTACTGTCAGACGCACAAACCAGGCACACATCCACCCACCCGGCCCCGCACGCACTCAGCCCGCGCCCCCAGTGTGCGGGCCCGCTCGCCTTCCCCGCCGCGGCACGGCCTCCGGCCACTCACAGGAAGTTCTCCATCGCGATGCGGACGATAGAGCCTTCAACGAAAGACCCGGACGACTGCAGCGGCAGTGGCGGCAGCGCCGCCGGTGGGGCCGAACTCTTTTTCTTGTTCGGGACTTCCGACGAGGGATCTCTCGGAAAAGCTCTCTTGGGGGCCAGGGGACTTGGGGTGGACGTTTTCCTGCTCGGAGTCGCCATCCTGGCTGCCTCTCTTCCTGGCTGCCTCTCTTCCTGGCTGTTGCTTCCGTTCCCACAGACCCGCAGCTCCGACGCTCCGGCGCCCCACTCCCGCGCGAAGTGAGCGGCGCGCGACTCCCTCGCGAGCCCGCCCCGCGCCTGCGCAGTCCAGGCCCGTAGCGTCAGCGGGCATACCCCGCCCCTCCCACCGCCCTGTGCAGGGCCTAACCTGAGCCGGCGAGAACGGAGCGGCGGGGTTTGGGAGCTCGCGGGAAGCAGAAACGGGATTTTCTGCTCAGTATTTTCAGAGGTTTTTGTTTGTTTTTAACTCAGAAAATGATGTCAGTTGCATTTAGTATTTTGAAAGCCTTTTTAGCGCTCCGAGGAAACAGATATGGGAGGGGACGGAGGGCGGCGTTTGCGGTGGTACCTGGGTGGGCCGGCGTCCCGAGTGCGCCGGGGCTCGCCGGTTTGGAGTCCGGCGAGTCTTCTTACTTTGCTTTCAATCAGGTCCCCGTGTCCAAAAAGAAAAAAATCACAAAAGAAAAAAAACTCTTTCAAATGGCTCTATGCCTGCTTCTCCCCTAAAACATCGCGCTAGGGTCTCCTGCGCTCCAACAGGTGGAAAGACTACACCGCAAAGATTCTCCTCATTGACTCTCCACCCCCTCGCTCCCAATTCTCTATTAAGACTTCCTCGCCTGAGGTTTCTAGAAATCCCCGCTGGCGTCATTGAGAGGGTGCTTCCACTTAAACCTACTCACATTCATCTAGTTAACTCCCTTACTAAAGATGAGGTTCCCTGAGGTCTACGTAGGTCTTCACTCACTCAACTAATAATGTCTAATCTACGAGAGGCTGGGCTGTGGTAGTAAGGGATCCAGTCAATGCTGCATGTCTCAGAGCTTACGTTCTGGTGTGTGAGACAGGAACAGAACAAGATAACCTACATATGATCAGGATAATTTCAGGCGGTGATAGGTCCCAGGAAGAAAAAACAGAACGACTGTGATGGAGAGGCAGGAAAGGCCTGTCAGAGGAAGTGATATTTAAGCTAAACCCTGAAGGAACCCGAGCCAGGTGCGGAAATGAGAAAGGAGCATTCCAGGCAAGGACAGAGACTCTGAGGTGGGAAACAGTGGAATGAGGAACGAAGGGAAGGCAGCGTGGTTGCAGTGAAGTGAGCAAGGTTGCTTAGGGGAGCCTTGCCCATCATGCATTTTATTTTAAACGCAATGGGAAGCCATTGGATGGTTTTAAGCAGGAGAGGGACGTGATCTGATTAAAGTTTTAAAGTGAGCACTCTGCTGATTCGACGGGGTCAAGCATGGGAGTGGGGAGGCCATTGAGAAAGCTATTGCAGTAGAACCCTGATTCCTGACTCCTGGACAAATGCTCCTTTCCCACGCTCCTGCTTCTTCCTCTCACACAACTGAAATCTGCGCTCTCTAAAAGTTGTAACCAAAGAAAAGTAGAATAAAAAAAAAGTGAACTTGTTATTAGAAAATTTTAATGCAAATTAAAATAAAGTAGAATACCTTTATAACTGTTCGAAAGGCAGGAAATAATTTAAAAAATTAGTGTTTAGGAGGGCACTGTCCTGTCATTTGCTAATTACTAGTACAAATTTTTTGAAAAGTGACTTGGTACCCTGCTTCAAGAGCCTTAGAAGAGTCAAATTCTTTGAAGAAATGATTACATTTAGGGAAACCTATCCTAATGGAAAAATAATGTAGGCGTAATGGGAGTTGAGAGCAAGGAACATATCTAATCATTTTATATCATCATTAGTTCTTTAGTGAACTACTCAAATTGTGCTCATAAACTTGAAAGTTGGGAAAGAGCCCCTGAACTTGTGATGACCCCACGAATGCACACACACCATGAGTTCTTGTCTAGACAGTCAGCCAGTCATACTCTACCATCGTCCTTTGAAAAGGAAAATGTTACTGGGTTTCGCAAACGCAATTTGTGTTAAATGCAGAAATTTGGGGAACACAGAGAAAAACATACACAAAGGGGAAAATTACTCATAATTCCTTTACCCAGACTAATCATTGTTAAGATTTTGGTGTATGTTTTGACATCTTTTTTCCTTGTATATGTATGTTATGGCCCTTTTGTTAAAAAAAAAAAAATAGGATTTTACTGTACAAATTATATATACTGTTATTTAACCCCCTTTTCCTCACCTATTATCTTTCTATGCCATTAAATATTTTTCTGTAACACAGTTTTAGGTAACTATATAGTATAGTGTAGTATATAGTATTCCATCAAACAGATTTAAATAATCCTCTTTTGTTGGACTCTATGACTGGAAGTTAGCATGAACCAGAGAGACACTGGCAGCTTATACGAGCTCAGTGCTTCCTAATATTCTTTAACAATTTCACACACCCATAAAGGTATACACATTTATTTATTAACCAGCCATGTCTGGTTTCTTTAATTCCACTGGTGAAAACTGTCTTGAAAGGGGTTATGTTAAAGAGGCAGAAGGAGGTCTTTGGAAATAGAATATCAATTAACCAGAATCTGATGCTAATGAATGAGTGAGTGAGCCAAAACGGTTAATCCTACACATCCATGATTTAAAGTCCAGTTGTCAGCTTAATTCATTGTGCCATCCTTGCTAGGTAATAGACGTGGCAAGGCAACTGTATTTAACTTTTTATTGACTGAGGAATAAGTGACCAGGGGCCATTTTAAGTGATGGCCTTCCAATTCTGCAGAAACTTTAAAACTGACACAAACAAAAACCTGGCAGACAGGGGTAGGGTCAAGGATTATAAATATATTTCACCTCACCATTAGAATATCATATTCTATGTTCTCTTTCTTGGCTTCACTCCAGGCTTTGAATAATGATGCTGCAATAGCAAGAAGGTGGGGGCACGATGCCTGGAATGGGACACCGCTGAGGCCATCTCTGACTGAGACAGTTTTCTCTTCCAGTTCTAACAAGAACCCTCACAGCTTAACAGGAATACTCTCCTCTGGTTTATATACCAAGTGAGAGGGAATATTCCTTTTGCTTTTGGTAAATTCATAGAGTAGAAAAGTGAACCCTCCTGGCTTGAAAGGGAGGGAAGAAGTCAGATGCTAAAACCTAAGTCCTTGGCTCCCCGGAACAACCCTCCCCCCTCTCCCCGCTCCCAGCACACACGCACACACATATATACACACTTTCTCATCAACCTAGTTAAGGAACTGATGGGGAAGATCTAGGCAGGGATGAGGGTTTCTAAAGAGAATGAGTACCCTTCCCACAGGGAACTGAAACCCCATAAAACAAGTTCTGCTAGAAGTAAGAATACCTTATCTCTACAGTTCTTAATTTTTTTTGTGTGTGTGTGTGTGTGTGTTACGCGGGCCTCTCACGGTTGTGGCCTCTCCCGTTGCAGAGCACAGGCTCCGGACGCGCAGGCTCAGAGGCCATGGCTTACGGGCCCAGCCGCTCTGCGCATGTGGGATCTTCCCGGCCCGGGGCACGATCCCGTGTCCCCTGCATCGGCAGGCGGACTCTCAACCACTGCGCCACCAGGGAAGCCCTACAGTTCTTAATTTTTAAAAATTTGTTTCTAACATCATTCAAAAGTTGAAAACAGTCAAAGTATCTGCTTCTTCTTGGTGTAGCAATATTAGTATTGGAATTGGTTGTAATAATAGCTATCGTATTAGTAGTAATTGCTAATACTAACAGCAGTTACCATATACCAGCTGCTGCTCTAAGCACTCTTTCATAACTCATTTTTATATTCTGCTGCATGATTTGTCTCTTTCTCAAATTTCCATTTATTGGATACAAAAACCAACTGAAAGATTAAAAAAATAATTAGGAATTAATATTAGGTTTCAGGTGTTCTTTGTGCTGTGTCATGATAGAAAGCCTAGAGCTAAACAGGCCTTCATTTCTTTGGAGGATATAAATTGGGAAAAAATTATTAAACCACTCCAGAAGGAATTTACGCTCAACTTCAAGTCTTTGTTGAATGAATTGATGGTCCTCCTTGCGCAGGCTGGGTTGGGAGCCTCTGCGAGGAAAGCAAACATTTCCCCTAACACCCTGTTACTTCCTAAAGGAAAGAAAGTTGGTAATTGTCAGCATCGTGCTAAATCTGTTGAAATCAGCTTCATAAATTATAAAATAAGTGAGTCCTTTGGTATTAGGAGCCGAGAGTGACATTTCATCCCAATATATCCAAAAGCTGGGGTGCTGAACTCTCCCATAACTTGTTAGTTTTAAGTTCAATTATATTTCGAAAACAATAAACTCATAGAGAAAAAAAATTCAAATTTGTGGTTACCAGAGGCAGGGGGTGGGGAGAGGGGGAATTGGATGAAGGTGATCAAAAGGTACAAACTTCTTATCTTTATAAGATAAATAAGTAGTAGGGATGTAATGTACAACGTGATAAATATAATTAACACTGCCGTGTGTTATATATGAAAGTTTTTAAGAGTGAGTCGAGTTCTCATCACAAGGAAAAAAATTTTTTCCTTTCTTTTATATTTTGTATTTATATGAGATGATGGGTGTTCACTACACTTTCTGTGGTCATCATTTCATGATGTATGTAAGTCAGATCATTGTGCTATACACCTTAAACTTATACAGTGCTGTATGGCAATTATATCTCAATAAAACTGGAAGGAAAAAAAGAAATTAACCCTGAACAATTTGGCATGATTTCATTATCTTTTTTTAATCTATTTAAAAAAATTACATATGAAACATTTGAACACATTCTTCTCTTAAAAATTAGAACAATACAGATAAAATTAGTATGCACTTGACATTTTTTTCTTCAATCATGTTGCTGTGCTCCTTATGCCTCAGAGTTAACTACTCTTATACACTTCTTCAGTGTGTAATGTAATGCCTTTTAAGGCCATTTCAATATTTACATGCATTTTATCTACAGAAAATATGTAATAATATTTTGAGTGTGAATGCATTATGAAAGTGTATTATATAAACACACAATGTAGTACATGCATACATATGTAAATGTATTAACATAAAAATATGGTAAGAATAGTTATGCAACGGCTTTTTTGTTTAAAAAATATATTCCTGTGATATA